TTAAAGTTTTTGAAGGCAAATTGGTCCCTTAGGTTAGTAAGTTATCAATGCTAAAAGGTCTTGCTACTGCATCACGTAATGCTGTCACAATTCCTTGCACACGTAGTAGTCTAAACGGTTATAAAAGAGAAATGCTAGTAGGATGGCAGAACCCTCCGCAAGGTTGAGTGGCAATAAACTCAGATGGCGCATTACGTCGTAGTACTAACTTGGCTGTTGCAGGTGGTGTTTTATGTGATTATCACTGATATTGGTTAGGCAGCTTTGCTGCAAAGTTGAGGAGGTGTTCTTCCTATAAGGTCGAATTATGGGGAGTCTTACACAGTCTTCATATAGCTAGGGATAAAGGATTTCGTAGGATATGGCTACAGGTGGACAATAAAATCGTGGTTTAGGCAATTACCGCCAATGCATCACATCCATGTGTGAATTCTGACTTACTAGACACTATTCACAACTTGCTGCAACTCAACTGAGGGGTGAAGATTTCTCATATATATCAAGAACGGAATATGGTAGCAGATGGCATGGCCAACATTGGATTTAATTTAGATAATAGTTTTCGTTCTTATGATGTACCTCCTCCATAAGTCAGTTCTATGCTGTTCAATGACTTGTTGGGAGTGTGTTTTACAAAAATGATTAGAAATTAATAAAAATTCTATTTTTTTAAAAAAAATATATATGGAGTCAACAGAATGAACCCATAATCTTAGGTTTTAATCTATTGCTTTTATCTAGTAGATTTTTAATCTTCGTTAATCAATTTAATTTTTTGATTAAATTTAGTTTAATTAATTCTTACAAAATTGAGTTACTTGAATAAGATTGATCTGTCATAATTTTAGTACTTAGTGAACAATTAAGAACAAAACTTTGTGAGATACAGTTTTGGACTTACTGTTTATATTCCTTGTTTGATATGCATATTTGTATGTATTAAATCCATAACAGCTACATACCTAATATCAAAATCGTGCTCTTCCTTGGATCCGAATGCAAATAATCTGAAGTTCATAAAAGAACTACTTCAAAGAGATTGGACTTGTTCCATTAGTGACAACTCCCACGAAGCTAATAGATGTGCCAATTGGATGGCAGCAAATTGTGAGGAGCTCTCTTCAGCATTATATATTTTTCATGTTCCTCCACCTTACCTTATTTCTTCCTTATTTACAAATAAGCTAGGCATAGCATGGCTTAGAACGATGTAGTTAAGTCATTTATCTTAACATATTTATTCACTTTTTTGACGTTTTTACATTGTAACAATAACAAAATTTGAATTAATAAATAAATATGGAATATATTTATAAAAATTTAAAAAATAAGAAATTATTAAATAAACATGAATCTTGATTCTTTAAATAAACCCAAAACCCTAATCACTAAAAAACCCAAAGTCAAGGGTAGAAAATTAAAGCTAAAACCCTGCACGGTACAGAAATGAAAGCATAGAGAGAAGGATACAGAAAAGCGAGAACAAAGAGAAACAATGGCTTTATATCTTAGACGAGCAATCAGATTAAGAAACACAGCACTGTTACTTAGAAGCTCAAAGATCCAAACTTGCAACGTTTCTCACTCTGTCTTTTGTCAAAACCAGAAAACTTGTCATACCCAAAAACCCAGTCCTTTGCCCTCCTTTGATTTCCTCAGAGATTCTCGTAGAGGCTTCGCCAAAGGCAAAAAATCAAGTACTTTTCTAACTCTCTTTTCCTCATTTTATGTTGGGATTTTGTAAACAAAAAATAAAAAGCTGTTAGTTTCGTGATCTTTTCGCTGTTTGCGGTAATGGTTGTTGATTTTGTTTGGCTAAAAAGTGCTTTTTCCCTTTACGGAATATGTTGACAAATATCAATTGGATTTTCTCTGGCTTTGAAATGTTTACAGAAGAAATGGGTGTTTTGTCATTAACTTTCTGTTTCTTTTTATTGGGATTTTGTTAAAAGCAGCTGTTTTTTTATCTTATCATTGTTATGCTGATGGGTTGTTAATACTTAAGCTAAAAAGTGGTTTTATTTTAAATGGAATTCATTCAATATATGATTTTCGATGAAAATCTCAATTGGGTTCTTTTTATCTGGCTTTGAAATGTTAGTGATTTCTTTTAATGTGCATTTTCAGAGGATGATTCTGGTGGGAACACAATTGAACTTGCCCCAGATATTGGGCCTACTGTTAAAGCCGGTGCTACATCACAGATGGATGCAGCAATTGTTGCCTTATCGCGAGAGTTAGCAAAATTGAGAACAGGGAGAGCATCTGCTGGTACTTATATATATATATATATATATATATATCGGACTGAGTTTGTTCAGGTCTTTTTATTAATAGTAATATGATGGTCTTAAATTGTTGACTTTGATCCTTTTGATGTGTTTCTACAGGAATGCTTGACCATATTATTGTAGAAACTGGGGGAGTAAAGATGCAACTGAACCACTTGGCTGTTGTTTCTGTCATAGATTCGAAAACCTTATCAATTAATCCATATGATCCAAATGTAATAATCAAGCCTCTTCTAACTTTTTCAGATTTTGTTTCAGCTAAGAATATTAAGAAGGCATGAACTACTCCCTAATAAATGCAATTATTTTATTGTAATGGTTTAAAGCGGTTTTAAGTTTTAACAAAAATTGAATTGGAAATTTGTAAAGTCGTTGATTTTTTGTGCTTGTTTGTCCATCTTTTTTAGCAAAGTGCTGAAACAATCATAAGTTGCTCCTTTTCTATTCAATTTTCGACCAAAGAAAACACGAGAGCCTTTGGAAATTCTTTTGTCTAGCGTGTCAAGTATGATAAGTTACAATCCAAATTGAAGAAACCATACCCCTGACAGAGTTTTTTTTTTTTGCAGACTATAAAAGAGTTAGAGAGTGCCATTGTTTCATCTCCATTAGGCTTAAATCCTAGGGTGGATGGTCAACGACTGATTGCAGCTATTCCATTGTAAGTTTACTTTGTTTAAATAATTTCCCTTTAGATATGATTTTCCATTTAACGGTTGATAAAATTTAGTTGTACTAAATTTGAAGAGTTTGGTTTTATCATTAACATAAGAATGCTTACAAATTTAAGTGCTACTCATCTGCAATTGGTATCTTACAATCTCTTAATTATATAATTAGACATCTATGCTTAGTATATATTATAGTTTCCATGCTTGATTGATATAAATTATAAATCTATTTTACTTTCTAATCTCTCATCTGATTTACTTATTCTATTCTTTGCAATGACCAGATTAACAAAAGAGCATATGCAGGTGAGTTTATGGTTTTCTTCACCATTTTTTCACTGCTCATGTCATAACCTCATCTATGATATTGACTGCTAATATATTCTTCCATCATTGGACAATTTTACCAGGCTATGTGCAAGGTGGTTGCCAAGTCTTCTGAAGATGTTAAACAAAGCATAAGAAGGGCTCGACAAAAGGTATTGAATAGTAGATCTTATATCTGATTATTTCTTATGCTGTAAAGCTCTTATCTCTAATTTTCTTGTAATGGGAAATTGAATGCAATGAAAGTGATGCTGACATACTAGAGGATGAAACTTCTAAAAAGGGAATCTCCAGTTTTGAATGTGCATATCTCTTCTGGTCCAAGAAGTTACTTCCAGCTATGGTCCAGATGTTCATAATTTGGTAATTTTACACTTGTTGCCTGCCCTAGCTTTTAGTGGATGACCTTTTTAGTATACTTGTTATATGATATTAAGCCCTTTATTGCTTAATATTTACCCATGACAATCTCATGGCAACATGAACTTTAACACCAGCATCACTGAGCAAAATGGTGCTTGAACATGTCTTTTATGTGGGTAGCATAAAGAATGAAAAATAGGAGTACCTTGTTGCCTTGGAAGTTTTCAATTTTCATGTTGGACTAAGAAGTGCTACCATGGCTAAGTAAAATTTTGGTTGCTTTACAGGCATTGGATGCAATAAAGAAAGTGGGTTCAAGTTTTCCGAAGGATGAGGCAAAGAGATTGGAGAAAGAAGTGAGTTAGTTTCACTGCTTTTAAAGAACTTTGCTTAAGTTGTTCATTCATTTGACTGCCTGCTGATGTTTAATTTTTCTCCAGATTGATGAGTTGACGAAAAGGTTTGCCAAGGCAGCTGATGATCTCTGCAAGGCCAAGGAGAAGGAGATAACTCAAGGCTGAGCAGCAATGTTGTGGTGTTCACTGAATTCAACAAAATTTATCCCCATTTGAGAGCTTAATTCCTAGATGTTAATCGAGTTTTGGGCTCTGACACATGTAGTACATTACTGTAGATTTTGATAGGTAACGGCTATTGATTCAATGATAAGGTAACCTGAAGGTTCAACAGATCTGAGATCCATTCAGCTGATGATATTTTGGAGACAAATAAATGACTATTAAAGGACAGTTTCATCTAGATTCTTTGAAATGGTTAGCTCCACTGTTACGCATCCGCAATTCCGGATTAACTTTCCATAAAAGTACAAACTCAATGGGCAATAAATGCTTCCCCAGAAAACCTTTTACATCTACAGGGAATCAGAACGTTTGCAAGGAGATGCAATGGTTTATAATTATATCGAATGTATTTATTTCTATTTTTTTAAAAAAATTGAATCCAACATTGAGCAAAGCCGAATGTATTATTTTTATTTCTTTACTTTTAAAAAATTTGAATTCAACTTTGAGCAAAGTTTTCTGAGTGAAGAATATATACATCTACAATCAATCTAGATGCTTAGGTATTATTGAATTTGAATGTACTTTTTAAATAGAAGATTATTTAACATATAAATTGAAAGTTTGCACAACTCTTGGCACAAACATAACTCGTGGATCCAACTATTAATTTTATCTTTTAAGAGTATTGTATAAAATAAGAATAAAATAAGTAGAGTAGTTATGTTACATGGATAGCGGTAAAAGTAGTATTGAACAAGTGGTAAGATTCATATATGAGGTTTACTCTTAAAATGTTATGGAGAACTTGACTTGTGACTTAAACATGAAAACAGTTGAGAGATTTTTTTTTAATTTCTCTTTTTAAATACAAATGCTTCTCCTCTTTCCCTATTCTCAAAAAACACGTGACATAAGGTAAGTTGATCACGTTCAAATATCAACTTCCAAGATGACCCACACCCACACGATAGCTAACCTCCACCACACAGCCACTTTCTTACATAGTAACACTCTCCTACCTTACCCATACCCCATTCACTAGGACCACCATCCACCATCACCCCCACCACGAATTCCATAATTATCCACAAAATATTCACCCGCCCAAGCCCATCACAAAACCTAATCCAAGCCAATGTGCTTAGAGATCCACACTTTTCACTATACACATAAGAAACCTTAAGCCAAAAGGTCACTAAAACTGCCTTGTGCGAAGCTTTCACCTATTACGACCAAATTAGAGACATCTTCATCTCATACCGATCGAATGGAAACTTTCTGACCACCTTTGCCTTTGTTTGTTACAAAGATCTTAAGGAGATGGATTACGCCATAAGCATGAAAATGAAATTATCTTCGATGGCCACCCCATCTCTGTTAAGAAAGCTACATATCGTTGGGACCATAGAAGGCAGACTGCCAAGTAAGCAACATTCCCTCTCACGACCCACAAGCCAACCACGTTTCAAACCCTTCTTAAATTTTTCCAAGGATGGTAGGACCTACAAGGAAGTCTTTAATAGTTAGCCAAACCCATCACCAATAGCCCTCAATAATAAGCTAAACCCATTACCAATAACCTATGGAACAAAAAACCATCATCAACAGAGCTTGCAAGTCATTGAAGCCACCCAAATGATCAAGGTTGGCTCAAGAGGAGTGTCGTGGGACCTTAATCCATTATATGGACCATTGCATTCTCCAAGAGATCTTTGTCTTTGATGGGTGGGAGGAAATACAGTCCTTATCACATTTGCTTGCTTGAGGATTTTGAAGCATGCATAGGAAATTATAAAGTTTGGTTTGACTTATGGTCCAAAAAAGTGGTTCCATGGGAGGAACACTTAACAGTTGAGAAATGATTTTTATGGTTAAGAGTAGAGAACTTACCCTGAGTCTTTAGTTAAATGCCATCTTCAAAGAAATAGGAGAGATCTAGGGATTTTTCATTTCAACAAATGACAATATTGCAAGGAAAAAAAGGCTTCATGTGGCCAAATTTCTCTTCCCTGTAAAGAAAAACACCTTTATTCCTTTATTAGTAGCTTGCATGATTAATGGGATTGCTTGTTGGTTCTGTCCATTAAATTAGTTTTGGATATTCCTTTCCCTCTCTATAGCCACGACCATCCGTATTCCGCTACCCTGCCACCAAGTAAACCACCCATCACTAGGCCTTGTGTTTTCTTTGAGTAGTCAAATTAAAAATCCTAGCCAATACAATAAATGGGTCAACCTTTTGTCAGTCAACATGATAGGAGCCATTTACCCAGCTTCTAAGGCAATTCAACTAAAACCACAATGCTCCAAACATGAAACTCATCCCCTTGATAACTTTATAATATAGAGTTATTTGGGTTTAAGTTTGATAATAATTTAGCTTAGTTCTTGTAGTAATACATAAAAATTAGTAGATTTTATTTAATTATTTTAAATTAGTTAATTTAGGTGAGTCAATATAATCTTAGTTAATTTATGCTTAATTTGATGTTAATGTGGTTAAGTTAGGTTGTTATTGATTTATTTGTGCCATTGTAGGTATTTGATGAAAGAAGAATTTTAGTGAAAAAAGAAGAGCAATTTCAAGGTGTAAATTTTCATTACATATATTTCAGTTTTTTGACCATAACTTTCTCTATAAAGCTCCAAATGAGATGATTCTTAGACCATTGGAAAGATAAGAGAATAAGATATAATTTTCTACTTACCACTTTACCCAGTTCAGCTTTGAATGTGGTAAAAAATCTTATTAAATTTGATGTATTGCTGTAGTCCTAGAGCAATTACGATTTCTGCTATTTAAATGGTCTTAGTTGTGGCTTCGGAGGTAGTAAGCTATGGCCTATGTAGTCTGATGAGGAAATCCAATTAAAATTGACTTTTTTCTTCATCCAACTTGGCCTAACTTCAAAGCCTAATAAAAACAACATTTTGAAGGACTTTTATAGGAGAAACAAAACACCAGATTGATAGTTGAGGATCAAGCCACAAGGTCATTAAAGCTAAGTAGAATTTGAAGGATTAAAGGAGATTTAGAGATCAAGAATATAATTTTTGAGTTTTTTTTTATCTTTTTTATTCTCTTATTCCATTTGTTTTGTTTTTAATGTTTAAATTTTATTTCATGATGATGTGTGACTTGATGAGGAACTAAACTTTTTATCTAAGATTATGATTGAACTCAATATGTAGTCTGATTTATTTATCTTTCTTTTACTTATGTTTGATAGATTTAAGTTGTTTATTTTATTTTGTTCTTAATGTTTTTAATTGCCTGATCACCAATTAGATTGAATTGGAAACCTAAGTTAAACCTTGACGAAGGAGATTTAGGTAGATCTTGAATAGAATAGTGTATGATCGAATGCATTTAATTGATTAGGTGGTTTGATTTGAATATAAAAGTAGACATACAACTATAAGCCATATGTAGCCAAAATTATAGCACAAATTTAATGAATCTTTCTTCAATATAATTTGAATAGCCATATAGTAAATTAATTGGGAGAGGTACTTTTATAAGAAACTCAACAAAGACTTGTAAATAATTGAAGACTTTAGGTTGGCAACTTAATCCATTAAACTGAGTTAAAGGAGAGAGATAATATTCAGATAAAGTATTGAAGGATATCATAATCTTAGGTCTAGTAATCACTAGAAGTTAACAAAATAATTCTGTTGATATACTTTAGATTAGTTGTAGTTATTAGTTTATTAAGTTTTAATTTTAATTTTAATTATTTAGATAAAATTAGGGTGTGTTAATTTCAATAGTTAACAGTAAGAAGTAATTCAATTCTCTATGAGATCAACACTTTACTTACTACTATATTATATTTGCGATACATATACTTACGTGGGTAGAAATTTGAACAACAAGTTTTTGGTGCTATTGCTAGGGAATTGATTTTTGGTTCTTTCTTGTTAATATTAATATCAAGCATTCTTAATTTTAATCTAGACTTTTCTTTTCTTTAATTTTTCGGGTTCTTTTGGTCATTGTATGTGAAGAGCTTGAAATTTGAAAATTGTTCCTTTTGATCTAGAATTTGAAAAGACTTTTCGAAGATTTCAGAGGAAAAATAAAAAAAGATTCTACTCAAAGTAGAACAATGGCTGATCAACAAGAGGAAGATACCAAGCCTTTGAGGGATTATGCTATTCCACAAGTACAAAATCTCCACTCTAAGTATCCGAAGATCTCCTTTTCAAGCCGACAATTTTAAAATTAAACCATCAATCACTCAAATGATTCATATTGTTGTTCATTTTAGGGGTTTGCCTAATGATGATACAAATGCTCATATTGTAAATTTCTTGAAAATCTGCAATACATTCAAGGCTAATGGTGTTACTGATGATGCTATAAAATTGAGGCTTTTTCCCTTTTCATTGAGAGATAAAACAAATAATTCGTTAAATTCACTTCCTGCTAGTTCCATTAAAAATTAAGATAATTTGGCTAAAAAATTCTTAGTAAAATTCTTCCCACTTGCTAAGTTAGCAAAGATACAGAATGATATCACTTCTTTCATGCAATTTGATTCTGAATCACTATATAAGGCTTGGGAGAGGTGTAAGGATTTGGTAGGAAGGCGTCCTCACCATGGATTACCTAAGTGGCTACAAGTTCAGACCTTTTATAATGGTTTGCTAGGACCTTTTATAATACTTTGAGAAGGCCTTGGACTGTTTTGATTAGGACTACCTACGTTCATGGGCTTTGGCCATTGGTGGTGTTTTTGGATCCATCAATATATTTTCACTACTTTTATTTCACTCTTTATCAACGGCTCCCCTATTCCTTAGTTTAGTTTGACAATAAGGGTATCGTCTCTCCCCCATGCTTTTCAACATTATGGTAGGGTCTCTTAGCATTATGTGCAATAAGGTTATCACATATGATTTGTTCGAGGATTTGACTCTCTAAGAAAGCCTTACTCCTATCTTCTACTTGCAATTCATCAACAACATGCTGATTTTTTGTAAACCTTGAAATGATTCACTCAAAAACATTAGTAGAATGCTCAAAGGCTTTCAAGCTATCTCAAGGCTTAAAATAAACTTTTCCAAGAGTAGTCTTATTGGTATTAATGTCCCTCAATAGTATCTCCAACTTTGGGCCTTTTTCTTAGGATGTAATACTAACAATCTGCTAACCAA